AAAAAAAAAAAAAAAAAGTAAAGTAAAAAAATAGAAGGAAAAACTCACATTAAGATGTTTTCCTGAACTAAAGAGCAGCTCACTCCCCAAGAGGAATTCTGCAGCTCTCCAACTCAATAAATACAGGCTTAAAATACTTCCCTCCTAGTATAGGTGGGAATCCAGCTGCAGCCACCTCTAAAAATAAGTATTTCTTTCTTCACTTTACTCTCTTGTCTTTCTTCCTCTGCTCCTTCCTTCCCAAAATATCTTTTGAGCATCCTCTGGGTGCCTTGCTCTGAGTACATGTCTTTGGGAGAGAGTTGGGGAGAACACTTGTTTTCTGTTGTCTGTTCTTTCTTTTTGCTCTTTCCTTTCACATGCAGTGTGTGCCCTAGTTAGATTCAGTTCAGTTTCACCATGTGCAAGGAAACTCTTTGTCTCAGACTCCACACTGTTGGGACTTTGAACAATGCACACCAAGTTGATCTCTCCAACTGTATTCTGAAAAGGAGCTTACAAAGCAGTATTTTAGAAATCATGTGAGGTCATGAAATTGTGCTAAACTGGAGGTCCAGAGAGCCAGATTTCAAGAAAATAAACTCTGATCTTAGCATATTACTTTGCCATCTGCTTTTAAAAATGCTTTATAAATTAAATGAATAGTTTGTATAAGGTGATTTCTAAGGTCCTGTCTGGTCCTAAAAATTTATGAGAGTGTAAAACATGGTGGCAAGGGGCATGTTTGGCATGTTTACAAGAACAAAAATATTTATGCCAGTGGGTGTGAGTAATTACTAGCTTGGGAAAACCAGCAGTTAGTTTCAAATACGGTCTAAGTAAAATAGAGTTTTGCATATATTCAGTCTACAAATTTTAAAAGAATATTGAAATAAGAGTTGAAAGAGATAATCACCTCCTATCCGTAGGTCTTATTTCCAAGGGAGTTAAATGGTCCCAACCCCTGCTCAGGGGAAGGCTACAGGTGTGAGTGCTTATGCACATATATGCAGATCTATTAAGCAAATATCAAGAGAGGAGTGAATATCAAGATGGCTTAATTAGGGAACCAGCAGTTAGTGTAATGGCTATGTCACTGGACTCCCACATAGTCGAACGCGGTTCGCGTCCTGGACCCGGTGGCTTGAAACTCAAGCCGGGCACGTGTGCGTGCGTGCCCGAGATCCTAAGAGGAGAATGGAGGAGAAGGGATTGCGGCGTGACCATCCCCTCTGGGGGGGTGTGATTTCTTGCTTTCTGTCTCTATGTCTCTCTCTGTCTGTCTGGCGAGCGCACACGCCCTATAG